TGGGATAAATGGCGAGGGACTGAGCCTGCTCAGGGCAGGAACCAACCCCTGGCTTGACCCCTGTCTGGGTGCAAAGAAAATGGGGAGAATCTGTTCACCTTAAGCAAAGCTGTTTTCTTGGGGGAGGGGTGCCTCTCGGGAACCCCTCACTCAAAATCCCCTGTAGCCTCAAGAGGAATGCCAGCTCTCAAGGCAATCCAAGTTCCCATGTGCATTTTAGAGCACGTAGCGCACTGCCTTTCTCTCAGCCCCGCGGGTCTGTGCCATGCCTGTTCTCAGGTGCCCACCCCAGGTCCAGCATTTTGGCAGCATCTACAATACCAGGACCATGCCTGGGCTGCCCCTGTCCCTTTGCCAAGTCAGGGGACCCTGATGAATAAGAGAGGCAGAAACTGGGGCTGGTCGTTCATATGAAACACGTTTATTGGGTGTGGGGAGATCAGGGGTGAATGCGCAGCAGAGAGGAATCAGATCCTGTCGGCAGGGGAGAAGAAAGAAAGAAAGAAAGAAGCTGTAATTTTCCACACTGTAGTCTCGCACTGTCCCTTTAAATCCGCAGCAGGAAGCTGTCACACCGTTAGTGTAGATGGCACCATCAGGAGCGAGTCCCGGTTGTCACCATCCACGGTGCTGGCCCAGATGCTTCGCTGCCCTCTGGGGGCCACTGAAGGGCCGGCAGCAGCTCACAGTGGTTGGGGTCGGCCGGTGGCTGGCGTGGGGCACGGCTCAGGGGGTCTGGGTGTCCTGGTAAGGGGGTGGGGCTTGGGGGGGGGTCATTGGTGAGGGCAGCTGGGGGCCCCATGTTCTGATAAATCACCACGGACTGGAGGGAGAGACAGGAGGAGAGCATGAGGGGCAGCCCTAGGGCCAGCCACTCCCCTGCCCCCCACATTCCCCTGTAGCCCCTACTCTTCCCCCCACAAATTGTTCATGGAATAACTCCCCAGCTCCCTCCCTAGGGAAGTACGGGAGTTCGGGGGGTGGAGGGGTCCCACATCTGTCACCTGTTCTAGAAAGAGCTGGGTTGGACAAATTTTTCACATACTCAGGGATAGAACCCAGGAGTCCTCAGCCCTGGCTTTAACCTCTAGACTCCACTCCCTTCTCTGAGCCTGGGATAGAACCCAGGAGTCCTGGCTCCCAGTCCCCCACCCACCTCTAAACCCTAGACCCCAGTCCCCTCGCACAGAGGCTGTCACCGTGTCGCCGTAGCTGTCCCGGCAGAGTGTTTTGCACCCGAAGGCGGCACTGGAGATGGAGATGCAGAACTCCAGGATGGTGAAGGCGAGGAGAATCATGGTTACCCCAAGCATGGTATCCTGGCCAGGGGAGATCCATGAGCGACTGACTGACAATACACACAGCGCCGCCTGCTGAGCCTCCCACTCCCCACAGCACAGCGCCCCCTGCTGATCCTCCCGCTCCCCGCGGCACAGCGCCCCCTGCTGAGGCCCCTGCCCCGTTCCCCACAGCACGGCGCCCCCTGCTGATCCTCCCACTCCCCACAGCACGGCACCCCCTGCTGAGCCCCCTGCCCCGCTCCCTTCAGCATGGTGCCCGTTAGGGACCTCCCACCCTGCTCCCTGAAGCGCTGCGCCCTTCATTGAGCCCCTGCTCCCTCTCTGCAGCATGGCGCCCCCTAATGGCGTTCAGGGCATCAGTCCCAACTCCTGGGCCACGGCCTGATGAGCAGGGTCACAGATAGCACCAGTGCCCCCAGCTTTGTGGGGCAGAGCTGGGCAGGCCCGGGGGGCGGCTGGACTCACCGCAGGCACTCGGGATGTCGGCGCGCAGGACTTGGACTCCTCGATCCACTGGCAGGTTCCGCGCGGGTAGTAGAAGATAAGCGAGAGCGAATAGAGGATGATGCCCACTCCGGCCACTATGGCACTGAGGGTATTCATAGCCAGCATGGCCTTCACCTGGGAAAGGAGGCGTCAGAGACGGGGGGCTGGGAGGCCCAGCTATGTCGTCCACACACCCCACACCTCCCATCCCTGCATCCCCCCAGCCACCCTCCTGCCCTTGAATCCTGCACCCCTCCAGACGCCCTCGGCCTGTGCCCAGTCTCCACGGTACAGCAGGTCGGTGGAGATTGTAGTGTCTAGAGAGACAAGGCGGGTGGGGTCCCAGTATCCACTGGGGAAGGAGGCAAGAGCTCCAGAGCTCTTCTCCGGTTCCTTGTTACAATCGTCAGCCCAAAACGGGTGATTTTCAGCCATTCGCTGCAGTTTTCAGTGGCGACGTTTTGGGCTTTGGGGCAATTTTGAGTAGATATTTTTCATTTTCCCTCCACCTTTTACCAGCTTCCAGCTACAAATTTGCTCTTTTTTGGGCAAAATTGGACAGCCAATTGGCCATTTTCAGCTGTTTGGGGTGCGCTGCTGTTTTTGTCTGAAAAAACTGTGGGGGGGAGATTTTTTTGGTGGCGGTTTCCCCCTGGAAATTCTTCCTTTCGTGACGGTTTTTGGGTAAAATGTTTCAATTTTCAGCCGTTTGGGCGGTTTTTGGATGGGAATTTTCAGTGTTGGGAAAAAAGTCAAAATTTTCCTTTGGAATTTGCAGTGAATTCCCCCCCAA